GTGCTACAACATGCCTAGAACTCAAGGTTCTCTCGAATTGTCAGATTTTGTTAGAGGAAGGATAGTTGGTCAAACAGTCAAGTCAGTCGCAAATTTCGCAGAATTTGGGAATCCCGCTTTCAACAGTCAACAGAATCATCGTGCAGTTCAGGAAACACGGCAAGAAAACAAATGAGCAGCGTTTGGGTCGTCCTGGTTCATCGGAGAGGACAAAAAGGGCTGTCATGAAGAGCATCGAAATGGATCACAGCTTAACGACTGCAGAAGTGGCCAAAGTTGGTGGGATGAGCCCGAAATCTGTTCAACGGATTCTTCACAGATTGGGTTATCATTGCAGAACAGCTAGACGGAAGCCCTTATTAAAACCTGCCAACATAGTCAGACGAAATAAGTGGTAATGACAAAGCCTCTGGACTTTTGGAAGACCATTTTCAAACGAATCAATATTCGCTCAATTTTCGGACAGTGGAAGGATATGGGTCTGGAGAATGCCTCACCAAGAGTTTTGGCTCAACAGATTGCAGCCAACTGTGAAGCATGGTGGTTTCAGCGTGATGGTTTGGGGATCTGTTTGGGTTGATGGGAGATCAAGCTTAGTGGAGTGCATTGTCAACATAAATTTTGCGAAATACGTCGAAATATTGGAGGAAGGACTCTTGCCACTTTATTCCTCGGGTTTCGTAGACAAGAACACAACGTTGTTGCAGGAAGATGGAGCACCGTGTCACACTTCTAGAAACACCCAAAAGTGGCAGGAAGAAAATGGTATCCAGAAGTTACCTTGGTCGAGCCAATCTCCTGACATGAACCCCATCGAAATCTTCTGGGCCATACTCGACTGGCAAGTCAAGAAAAAACCAAAAAACCAACTCCGAAGAGCGATCTACTCCAAGTTTTGAAGCAAGAGTGGGCGAAAATCCCATAATCTAAAATTGACGAGATGATTCTCACGATGCCCCAAAGGATCAACAAACTCCACGAAGCGAAAGGAAGATCTACTAGATATTAATTAAATTATAAATATATCATTTCATGTGAATATGACTGAAATTTTTTTTTTTCTGAAAAGGTGGTGTCTATTTACTTGTGACCACGCTGTGTACAGAGAGATTATAATAAGTTTGAAGAAGTGCAGAAAGACATTAGCAAAGTAAAAAAACTGTAATGACAAAATCACAGAAGTACAAAATTAGATAATTCAGGAACAAAATAACATTAATGACAAAATAAAACTTTTGGAAAACGAATTGCTAAATTCAAATATTAAAGCAGTAACACTCATTTCTGCATCTGCTCAATAATTCCAACCTAACATACCAATTACTAGAAATTATGGAATAGAAAAACCTATTTGGTCTACACCTATTACTGCTACTGATGTGTGATTTGTTAGTGCAGAACCTTTCTGGAGTACTCCAGCCATGTCATCAAATCTAGTTCCAGAATTTAGCTAGGCAGTTCAACAACATTGCTCAATAAAGTAATCAACGGACCATGATTAGAAGGTACCATAGGAGGCATATCAGAATCAGTTTGAAATTATTTCCAGCTTGAAATGGTGGAAGAGGAATAACAAGCTATTTGTTTTGCTGCCCATTTAAAAAGACCAACTTTAATGACATTAAGAAACCTTCCAGCTGAGAGCCATAAAAACAGTCTAGCATTGTAAAGTTCCATATCAAATTTCAGATTGACACACCAGAAACAAGTATCCAGAATAAAGTTTCGGAATAGGGTACAGAGTAAAAACTCTAGCCAAACATGCAGAAGATTTGGAAAGGCTTGCCTATTATCTTACTTGAATGCTTTACGTGAAATGATGAATTCATTAGTACGTGACCAATTTATAAATGTCATAATAAAGGAGGATATGAGAATTAGACTTAAGCAAAGTAGGTGCACACTTTTAAAGGAAGTTCTGCAGTTGGCAATGGAATTTGAATCCATTAAAGTTGCAGACAAACAACTAAATGCACCATATGCAAGCTATATAATCATCACACAGACTGACAGTAAAACATAACTTATACTGACAAAAGTCAGAATAACTTAGACTATCAATTAGATAACTAGTCACACAGAACAGAGGAAATAAACAACAAATGATAGATGTTTCAAGTGTAATTTGAAAGGACATATTACTCAGGACTGCATAAAAAAGCCTGTACAGCACAAGAAATACTCCCAAAGGATACCAGAAAAATAGAACTATTAAAGACTGTAACAAATCAACACCTGCTACTAAGCCAAGGAGACAGAGCCCAACCAAATCAAAGGAAAAACAAAGAGCTATCCAGACATTAAGAAAACAAGAATTACGCCAACTGCTGAAAATTAAATAAGAATTGCATTAGTTGAAGAAAACCATACATTTTCAGCAAGAACAAGTTGGGAATTACCTTAACTGTAGGAAAATTCTCTATATCCCATAAATTGTGGATCTGGACATCAAAGAAGAATGCATATTGGGAGCTGACTTCATGCAGAGATATGGATGCGAAGTTGAGCTAGCTTCACATTCTATGCTCCACGTGGCAAGTATTACACCAGAGATTGAACTTTGAATGAAAAAGGAAGAATGGTCATGTTACACAAAGAAGCAAAATATTCATGCCCGGAGTTAGTAAGAATAAATTTTCATCTAGCAACTGAAGTATAATGGAACCAAACACTCCAACATGTCTTTAGAAATTAATGGTTGGAAAAGCTCTCATTGATCTGAAGAATAAAGATACCATACATGACTTTATCTGTGAAAGAATTAAATCTGCTTGTGATGAAATGAAACTTCATTATTATGTTAATACTGATAATACTAGATTGTACTGAGGTGACATGGTATAGCTTAACAATTTTTGTTGCAAGAAAGGATGAACTCCAAAGTCAAATGGAAAAGCCCAGAGTTTTTGTCAAGACCACTTCCACCAACACACCTTGGTGAATGGACAGCTTAATTTGTGTATTAGGATTGTTCAAAGGACTTCACAATCGAGGAAGTGGGAGTGTTATAAAATTTATTTTAAATGTTTTAATTTAGATTTTTGTTAGAGGTGCATGATGTTATTGTCTGAAAAATTTCTGTAGTGAGTAGAAAGCAAGTATGGTATAAATATAAGTAGAGTGGAGTTAGTAAGCAAGCAAAGCAATGAATCACTAAGCATTGACTGAAATGTTAATGAGTAAGGATTGAGCGACTCAATTCTATGGTAGAAAAGCTATTCAGTGTTAAAAGTGAGATCTAGTGTTTCTATTCAGTTAACTGATTGATTGACAAAGAAATTCTATAAGTACATTATTTGTAAGTAAGGTGTAATTAAGTACTATTTGTCTCAGAATGTTATTGCTATATTGTTTGTGAACTTAATATGTAGGAGCATTATGGAAGAAATAAATAAATTAATTACCGTTATGTGGACTGAACTCGGGATTAATATATTGTTTCATACAAAGCCATGTAGCAAATTTGTTATTATATATTTATTTTAATATCAACGTTTGTTTAGATTAAATTTATATTTAGAAACATACATAGCTTATAGTGTTAGATATGTATTGCAAAACTCCAGCCTATTCTCCAAAGTTGTAGAAGATTCTCGAGAGTAAGAATCAACAATATATGTATGTACGTAAACGCTTTAACTTGTATTGTTACGTAATCTGAATTTTCTAGCAAACCTTCCCACGGCTATAAATATAACCAACGCGACGCGCCAGTAAGTATCTATTATTAGTTCGCTATAATCAGTGTGCTATAAAACTTCGGAAGCTATAACTGTGATTGTTATAACGCTTATCAATC